TGGGCTGTAAGGGGCTGGGAATTGACGGGGGAGGGGCTGGGGTGTGGAGCTGTGTGGACCTAGGAGCAGGGTGGGGAATGGGTCTGGGTTTTGGGGAGGGCTCTGTGCCCGAAGTGGAGGGAGCTAAGGGCTGGCTCTGTGAGGGATGAGCCAGCCCTTAGCAGTCAGGTCTGATTGACCCCTTGAACACTGGTGTGTATGGGGGCCCCGGGGGGATGTGGGTGAGCAGCTCAGACCAGGGTCTCTGGGACCTGAAGGAGAGGAGTCAGGGATTGAGGGATCAGCCAGGATGTGGCTCTCAAGAAGTATCAAGGCTTTAGCATCTGCTGGCAGGTGCTGTGAGAATGTCAGCTCTTCACTGCCCCATGATTTACACCTGTAAAACCTGGGAGCCTGCAAGGAGGCATTAGCAATGATGGCTCGATCTGTGTGACATAACATAAGACGTTTTTATCAGTTACATGATTCAGTGCTTCTGGGGCATATTTCCAAAATAGCTTGGTAAGTCATGCACATCTGTGTGGGACTCGTGTACCTCGGTATGTGACAGTAACCAGTGTACTTGGCAGATGTACAGAGATGGTAATGCTGATTGCTTGCAACAGTTTTCTGTACAATATGGTACTTGGAAAATCAAGTCTACACAGTCCCTTAGCCGTTATTCCCGGGTGGTGGATAGAGAAATTAAAGCACAGCAAGGTTAGAGATGTGGTACCAGATTATATGGAGCTAGTATTAGAACATGAGGATTCCTATCTTCTAGTAGTCCCTTGCTTTGTAAATCATTAGAGCTCGCTAACAAGTGAAGAAACTATGTGAAGATCAAACTCCTTGATGTGCATTAGCTGGAGATGATAAAGCAGATATGCTTCCACTTTCTTCTAGCTACCATCATTACATCCACAATCAGGATACGGGCCTATCAAAAACATCAGCTGCTCAAACATTTGCTTCCTATCTAGGTTTTTTGCAGCCAAACTCTTCCTTCTCTCTTGCCTTTTTTCAGCTTGTGAGGCAGATAATAGCCTTTAGTCCTGCTTGGCATCTCAAATGGCCACAAGCCGTAGCACTCAGTACAGCTACCTCTTACCTTAAAATGCAGTATATTTACAAAACTACAGATCAGGCAGATGAGTATAGCTAACTTGCGTAAGCAGGGTCCCAGAGGAGTGCGGCACCAGATGTTAGTGCTTTGTGCTACTCAGAGCAGAGCATAGTTCCCTCTTCTGCCTAGGGACCAATTCTTTTTCTTAAGCACTCAAGAATTTTCCTAATGTGTAATGTATGATATTGAAAGATGTCTGGGTTTCCAACTGAATTGCGAGTGTAATGGGACAAAGAGTTTCTGTACAGGTAGTAGCAGCTGCAAAATTTGAGCATCCTTGTAACTATGATGCACCTTGAAGCCAAGAAGAGAGGCAGCTATGCCCTCAGATGCAGTATGTCAGGATGGCTTGATAAGGAGCATGAATGAACTAGAGTTGTCGGAAGATGTCTCCTATTGGTCACACAAGTACCAGAAGAAGTCTATAAAATCATGACTGGTGTGAAAAAAGTGAATAAGGAAAACTTATTTACTTGTTCCCATAATATAAGAACTAGGGGTCACAAAATGAAACTAATAGGTAGCAGTTTTAAGACAAACAAAAGGGAGTTTTTCTTCACGCAGTGCATAGTCAACCTGTGGAACTCCTTGCCAGAGGATGTTGTGAAGACAGGGACTTTAACAGGGTTCAAAAAAGAGCTCAGTAAGTCCATGGGAGGTTAGATCTGTCAATGACTATTAGCCAGGATGGGTAGGAATGGTGTCCCTAGCCTCTGTTTGTCTGGAAATGGATGACAGGAGAGGGGTCACATAACGATTACCTGGTGTTTTCACTCCCTCTGGGGCATCTGGCATTGGCCACTGTCAGCAGACAGGATACTGGGCTAGGTGGAGCTTTGGTTTGACCCAGTATGGCTGTTCTTATGTTCTTAAAAACCAACCCTGGACGGTACTAGGACTGCTGGATGCTCAGGACTTCTGAAAATCTGGCCCAATGAGATCAAGGTTTCATTTCCGGTACCTAAAAATGGACATGTCTGAAACCTTTTGCTGAAGTCTGTAGAGGAGCTAGATATATGCAATTAGAATCTAGGCAGCCGGAATCCTATTCTCTTGGGTCAACCATTCTCTTCAGGCACTAAACAAATCTGTCATATTTTGATATGCGTACTATTGTAGGATTACCTGTTTTTTGCAATAGGCTATAGTTGGCTATCAAAACAAGGGGCTACATCTCCATTCTCAAGATCTGTTTCATTGCATCTATTTAAGCCTAATAGTATAAAGAGACTCTGATAAACATGAATTGGGACTTCTGCTTATTTTTTTTTTCTATCACTGTCAGGACAGTGCTACTGTTGGATTATAGGAAACAAATGTCTTGGTGGTTTTTTGCCTCTGCTGCCTTTTCTTTACTGCCCTGAGGTTACTGGTTCCTCTATATCTTAACATTTTCATGGTGATAATCTTGAACAGCTCTGTGACATCTCACAGGGTAACTTCATGGAATAGTAATAAAGCCTATAACAGTTGAACACAGAAGTTGAGTGAAAATTCTCATTAAGACAGCAGTCAAGTGATTTCTAGCTCTAAGAGAAGACTTTGTATTAAGCAAATGTTTCAGGGATGTTTGAAAACTTTTCTTCAGTCACCACCGCATTTGCTGTATGTACTATCAATCCCTTGCATAAAATATGAATGTGAAGAATGAATTGGATTTGGCTGTGATTTTCCTAGAGAGAAATGTGTAGGATGATTCCTGTGAATTTAGTCTTTTCAAAGTGCTGTTTAAAATCTAACTGACTTGTGGTACTATAGATTCAGATGTCAGTGTTTTTATTAAAATACCTTTTTCAGTGAGATGGTTATTAAGTGACCTGCAAAGTATTTCTAAAATACTTGACTTTTTGTTCTTTTTTGCCTTC